AAAGCCATAGATAATAAACCTGCTATAAGTACATATTACAAACAATCAGCAATTACCATTGATAAAAGTCTTGGTGAAATTGAGATTACTTAAACCTCAAACCTCCTTGAGGTCTGCAAAGGAAAATACTACACACTAGGCAAAGAAAGACAAAGTAGTTTTTCTAATTAACCAGTCTTTGGTCCCACACCCTAATGAAGAACTCTCATATACTAGACAGAATTAGTGGTAACACCATTTCCCTAGAGTAGGTATGGCCTAAAACCAATGAAGGCTACATGAAGAAATACTGGGAGGGAAAAACCAATCCAAAGTAAACTAAGCAAGCAACAGGGGAACAGAGCTGATACAGGTCTCTTGCCTTAGTCCTGACTACCATACAGAAGGGAGTGTATTCCAAACAGAAAGATGACCGGGGCTTTAATACTCTGCATCATGAAAGAAACAGAACAGCATTGTGTCAACCTCCAAAAAGCAATGTGATTCCACCCTAGAATACAAAGCCCAGAATACCAGTATTGCTCTTATCCTCTTGAGGGAGGTAGAAAATGCCTTGACCTTGACCCGGTTTTGGAAAGAAGGGGAAGACTGAGGGAGGCTTGAGAAAAAAGAGGGAAGAAACTGAGAAACACTGTGCTCCCGCAATTGGTCACTATTCATAAAGGTTAAAATAAAGCACATAATTTCAACCAAGAGGACTAGTCTCTCTTACCATGGGCCAATCTGCTTCTCAGCTCCCCCGAAACCTGTGGCTGACCACAGATACAGACAAGAACAAAACTCAGTTAATACTTAAAAAACGCAAACAAAATTCTACTAATGTTAGTGAATTCCAAAGACCAAAAATTAAAATTTAAAAAAGAGCAGTTTAAGTTTTGGCATAAAATGGTAGTGAAAGGAACAGAAAAACCAAGTAACTTTTTTTTTTTTTTTTGCGGTATGCGGGCCTCTCACAGTTGTGGCCCCTCCCGTTGCGGAGCACAGTGCGCAGGCTCAGCGGCCATGGCTCACGGGACCAGCCGCTCCGTGGCATGTGGGATCTTCCCGGACCGGGGCACGAACCAGTGTCCCCTGCATCGGCAGGCGTACTCTCAACCACTGCGCCACCAGGGAAGCCCCCCAAGTAACTTTTTAATATCATATCTAGTATATGATATAGCATGAGAGTTAATTAAATTCTAATGATAAAGTGGTAACGGGTACTGATAAAAGACATTTGGAATACAGAACTGTGAAGCCAGAATGAATCTCAGAAACCGTAGCATTCATCCTGCGCGCGCTTTCCCTCTTCTCTTCACAGGATCTTCTGGGGTGCTCCATTCCTATAGCCCTGATTTTTATTCCGGTCACCTCCCCATTTCTCTGCAATCCTTCAGAGACAAATTTAAGCCAATGATCTTCATGCTGCTAAATTTAATGGATACTTTGCTGCCCTAATCTTACTTGACCTTTGCAAGGGACAGCTATTATTTTTGACTGTTCCACATTCATTCCCCCGTTTGGGTGACAGGATCCACATTTTGTTGGGGGATCTATCCCTCCCCCACTGGATACATTCTGAGTGCGATTATAGATTAAGGTGTTCTTTTCTATCCTGACCAACTGCTGGATACCCAACCCATGATGAACAAATCAGATACTCTTCCTCAGAACGTGAATTCTAAAAGAAGTAACTAAGGTGGAAACTGCTGTAGCAGCCCATTCACTCCAGTACTGCAATTAGCAGCCTCCCCTTGCTCAGATTCCTGTCCTTTTCAAAGCCAGGGCCTTCAGCATTTCCTTTGATCCTGTCAGCTGCCCACATCCTTGTCATAAATTCCTCTTCTCCTCAAGTAAATTGGTCATTTGCAACCAGAGCCATAACTGATATTTTCCCTTAGAAGTACTGCCTCCTTCCTCAAACACTTTACTTACTCTCTTTTGCTTCTAAGATACTTCTTATTTTAATCCTACCTCATTGGCCATTCCTCCAGTTTCCTTCGATAACTCCTATATTCCTCCTCCACTCATCCTCTAAATATTAATGTTCTTCAGGATAGTTTGCAGGCCAGGCCCTCTTCTCTTGCTAGACTCTCTTCCTAGTGTGAACTCATGGCTTTAAATGATACGGTCTCCAAAATTTTTATCTATAGCCCAGATATCTCCTCTGAGCTGCAAACTTGTACATAGGAAGGATTGCTTACTTGACATCTCTACCTCATGTTTTGATATCTCAAATTTAACATGTTCAAAATGAATTCTCTCCCAAGCCTATTTCCCATCCTCCCCTGCCAGCCCCTCTGACCACAACCCTCCATTCAAGGGAGGATCACCATTCACCCCATTTAGAAGTCACTTTTATTACTTTATTTCCTTTGTTCCCAGTATCCAGTCCAGCTGCAAGTCTGGACTTGATTCTGTCTCCAAAAGAGATCGCAAATCCACCTACTTCTATCTCTACTGCCACTACTCTACTCCAGGCCACCATCAACCTTGCCTTAAAGTACTGTTACTGTCTCCTAACTGGTCTCCCTGCTTCTATACTTTGCCTCCCTCCATTCTCTTCACATCACTTAATATCATCTTAAAATGTGAATTTTCACATTTTTTTTTCACGTGGCTTCCCAATGCATCTAGAAAAAATCCAAACTCCTTATCCTGGCCTATAAGGACCTATGTGATCCATTCCTGCCTCCATTCAACCTCCAGCCAGATGACTCTCCCTTAGTTCCTTGAACATATTAAGCTCTTTCCTATGTTAGGGATTTGCACACATCATTTCCTCTACTTAGGAATGCTTTCTCTTCCATTGCTCTTTTTCATTCTTCAGGGCTCTACTTAACTATCAACTCATGCAGAAACGCTCTGCCTGATAACCTTATCCAAGGAAGGTTCCTCATACCCCCACTTTTATTTTCTATCTCTGCTGTCTCCATTACAGCACTTACCACAATTTCTAATTCTTTTGTTTTGATACAGTATTCACTTTTTGTCTGGCTACCCCCTAAATTGTAAGCTCCATAAACAAAGGCAAGAACTAGCCTGTCTTGTTCACTACTGTATCTCCCAGAACCCAGAACCCATCACCTAGTGCCTGGCAAAGTATTGTAGGTAATTCATAAGGAATTTAGGTCTCCAAGAGTCATTTCTGATACTGTGAAGCTCTGAGACTGTCTTTAGTATGAGTTTAAAGGGCTTTTATACAAACTTCCTGTAAGCAGCTAGTAGGCACTGAACAAATATTTGTATAACGAATGAATGACTCCGTGAATCATACCCAAATTTTTGTCTCTATTTCTGACCTCTCTCTGTACTCCAAACTTTCATTTCTAACTGCTTGCTAAGTAACCCCATGTGGATATCTACCTCAATTTTAACAATGTCCAAAATCCAGACTGTCACCTTCCCCACCAAACCTGTTCTTCTTCCTGTATTATCCATTTCAGTTATTGCCCAATTGTTCTCCCACTCAGCTACAAATTCTAGGTCTTGAACAATCTCTCTCATCCTCCATATTTAAATAATCCCAGTGGTTCTGATTCCTCCAAATTTACTCCTACCATAATGCCCTGTTTAGGTTTTTCATTATCTTTCAACTACACTATGAAAATAGGCTTCTAACTGGCCACCTTGCCCTTAAAATTCCCCTTTCCATTCCAACTTTTTTTTTTTTTTTTTTTTTGCGGTACACAGGCCTCTCACTGTTGTGGCCTCTCCCGTTGCGGAGCACAGGCCCCAGACGCGCACGCTCAGCGGCCATGGCTCACGGGCCCAGCCGCTCCGCGGCATGGGGGATCTTCCTGGACCGGGGCACGAACCCGTGTCCCCTGCATTGGCAGGCGGACTCTCAAACACTGCGCCACCAAGGAAGCCCTCCATTCCATCTTTTATGCAGCCACTCATCTTTCCAAAACACAGAAATGCTTACGTCACTTCCCTTACCCAAAGTTCAGGGCTTCAGAATTAACAGTCAAATCCCTAAGCATGGCATTTTAAATATTCAACAATATGTCCTCAAATACTGTTCCAACTGCAGCATCCACTATATTCCTCAATGAACCCTTTTCTCCAGTACACACTGGACTGGCTACTAAATGAACACTCCAACCTATTTTAGTGCTCAAGGTCCCTTTCCCTTGTGATAGTTCTCCAGTAATAAGACCCTCCAGTAATAAAACCCTCCAATCCAGCTATGATCTTTTGAAATCCTTTCCAGTCCTTAAAATCCAACTCATACGCCATCCTCCATGAAGACTCCTTTCCCTCCAGTCAGAACAAATCTGTCCTTCCCTTGGTGTTCTCACAACACAGTTTAACCTCTCTTTAGCAATTATTTCAGCCTGCCTTGGGAGTTAGTTGCATATTTTTCTCACTGGTTAAGGTTCATTGAATTTATCATCCTTCTCCCATCCTTCTCCCTTCTCCACCGATGCTTTGCACAAACTAAGCATTCAGGAAATATTTGCTGAATGAATAGGTAACCCCCTTCATTTACAGAGGGAAATAAAAGTCCAAAGCTAGACATTAACTTGCCAAAAATTAGACCTCTACTTAGATGTAAAACTTAAAAAACTAGAACCTAAATCTTTTGACTGCGAGTTTAGTTGACCTTGTCTCACACGAAGATAACACAAAGTGGAATTTCTCACTCCCTAAAAATAACAAAATGCCCCTGGCTTTATTTTAAAATGTTTCTTTTATTCTCTTTGCAAATACGCTGTGTTGGTCCTTGTGCCAAAGTGAGGAAGAAATACAAATTCTTAAGTTCCAAGTTAATGATATTTAACTTTCAAATGGTTCCTAAATGCATTTCAGAGCCTCATGAGCAAGTGAGATAAACTTTAATAAACTAACTGAATTCTTTTCTCTGAAGAAACTTCAACCTGCGAAATGCATAAGGCTGTAGACTCTCACAGCCCACACCCTCGCCTTGAAATGACACGCAAAGGAGAAACCAGTGGCCCAGACCCTCCGAGTCGGCAGCCTTCCTTCTTCTAGACCGAGAAAGTAAGCGGACGTACCAAAGAAGAGGGTAGGTCTGGGCTGAAATGTCCAGGGCAGAGTCGCCTTGACATCCTCGTTCCCCCATTACAACAGCCTAGTGAAGGGCCCCAAGGTCCACAGGCAGGCCTCGCGGAGGGTGCAGTCCAGGAGCCCCCGCCGCGGGGACTCGCTGACTCTTTCTCCAGGTTGGTCTTGTCCCCATGCCCCTGGCCCCGAAACCAAGCGAAGGAGCCGAAACATATGCCCCAAAAGCCCGCGAGAAGAGCCGAAGCCGTAGGGCTTCAGACCGGCCGCTCCAGATCCGGGTGGGGTGCCCCGGGGCGGTTTCCCTGTCCTCTCCGGGGGCAAACTCGGCCCAAGCCCCTGAGGAGCCAACACTGGCTCCCTCCCTCTCGGGGACCACCTAGCCGAGCGGGTCGATCAGGCCCACCCCGGAGCTCACCTTTCCGTCCCGGGCAGCCGTCCGTCCGTCAGTTGGTCCCGAATTCTGTCCACACAGAGCGTCTTCCGGCTCCCGCCGGAAGCAGCTCGAGCGCGGGACAGGAAGTTTGGCCGCCCCCCACACACACCCCCACTCGCTCGCCTCCGAGCCGGGCTGCGGCAGTCCCGCAGGCGGTTCCGCCCCGGGGACCGCTGGCCTGCGCGGCCAGGAAGGCTTGTTTCGGAGAGGGAAGGCACTGCGGTCTCCTGCCTCCCACTCATTCCCTCTCGGCCTTTGTAGCTCCGTGGTCTGCGAAGCCCGAAAAACGGGGTCAGTCAATTCTAGGCGTGACGTCACTGCTTCCCTACTGCAGCGGATGGGGTAGTTATCTCCTGTCAGCTGAGATCAGTACACGTTGCAATGGATGCAAGCGAGAAAGAAAAGATCACTACTTAAAACATTTATCAAAGTTCTTAGTGAAGAGGACCTCGAAGCTTCACTGCCCGAGAAGGGAACTTGCAGAATCTAGTTCTGCATTGCATACCAGGTGGGGTAAGAATTGAGACTCCGGTGTAGAACTTTTTTTTGGAAGGTGAAGTCCCTGGAGTCTGCGTTCCGTCAGTACAGTAGGATGTAAAGAGCTCTCCGATGTCCACACCGGTGCTAGAATACTTGAGTTTCAGGCTAGATGCCGCAACTTGTTAGAGCTTTATGTGTTTGACTGACTTTGTAAAATTACTAATTTTTGAATACTTGCTGCGTGCCAAAGGATGAAGGAGGGACTGAGCTAAGATAGTGGCAGTGGGAATTAAAGGTGTGTTCTAAGAAGGGCATTTTCAAGGACAGAGACAAGGTTGAAGAAACCAGGGGAGTAGTTTAGTACACCAACGATGGTGATTTGAAAACAAAGAAGCAACGTGTTTCAGAGGAAGATAATTCCTCTTTAGATAAGCCGAGTTTATCTATTCCAGGTGCCTATGGGATATTTACTTGGAGGTAAAGGTCCCTACCTATCTCAAGAGGTCAGAAATAAGATACAGATTTGGGAGTTATCAACACACAGACAAGAGATGCAGCTCTCTCTGGAAAAGTATATAAAACAAGAAAGAAGCGAAGGCCACTGAGGTCAACTGGAGTGACTGATTACTAACACAGTTCGAATCTACACAAAAGTATATTGCAGTTTGTAAGCAGCTGACCATAAGCCAGCACAACACTCAGAAAATATCCTCAATTTTACTGTATTAAAGGGTTGATTACAATTAATAAAACAAATGCTCTTATTTAGAAGTACATTAATAGGTCTTGAACATCCATGTTTATGACCATTTGTTACTTTGCTCATTCAGTTCTGTCATTTTCTGAAGCTGTATTTGTTTTTGTTTTTTTTTTTTGTGGTACGCGGGCCTCACTGTTGTGGCCTCTCCTGTTGCGGAACATAGGCTCCGGACGCGCAGGCTCAGTGGCCATGGCTCACGGGCCTAGCCGCTCCGAGGCATGTGGGATCTTCCCGGACCGGGGCACGAACCTGCGTCCCCTGCATCGACAGGTGAACTCTCAACCACTGCGCCACCAGGGAAGCCCGAAGCTGTATTTGTTGTTTAAATCTTTTTCATCATTTAAAACTTGAATTGATGTTTATATCTATTTGCCCTCGAAATCTTTGTAACTATTTGACAGTATGTGCCTGCTAACCTAAAATAAACATAGGCTTTTATCAATATATATTTGAGTTTTTAGGCTATACTGTGAACTACTTGGCAAAACACATATCTTCTGTAGTAAATCTAGTCCCTCCATCAACCTAACCAACCTCAGTTATTTAATTTATCATACTACTCCCAACACAAAGCCTCTGCTCTCCTATCCCAAAAACTGTTCCACAAGCTCTGAATTCCCCAAAACCCCTACACACACCCTACAATTAAGTCCCTCTTCCATCTATAATATGGAAAGACCATCCCAATTTATTCTTCACCAAGCTTCAGTTCAAGAATTACGTAAAGCAAAAAAAAAAAAAAAAAAAAAAGAATTACGTAAAGCATGTCCAGTTCAATATTTACTAAGTGCCTTCTCAAGTATTCTATTTTAAATACAACTTATGAAGTTAATAAAAGTTATTTAAAAAATCTTTTGTATGATCTATTAAACAGTTACATCAAATCTCCAGTGGTTTCAGAATATCTGATATAAATTTCATGTAATATTAGTTTTAGCAAAAGAAGGAAAAATAGGTCATATTGACTTCAATCTATTATTGTAAATAATCATATTGGATGAAGAATACATATATGATATTGAAGACACAGGAAAGAATTATGTTATGCAGCTAAGAAAATATCACCTATGATCACATTTAAATCAAAAGGTATCTGTACTCTTAAGGGTTTTTTAATGTATCTTGAAATCTTTGTGCAAAACGGAAAGCAATCTGTGTATTTCCTTAATGAAGATGTTTACAGAGATAACAAAGAGGTTTCTTCTGAAATGCAAACTATCTGCTTTCCGATGTTACCTCCTGTCATCATGGACTGGAATGCAGCTGGAAAGAAAAAAAAAACTAGGTTATCTGAAAACATAAATGTCACCATCCTACATGTTTATCAGTAGGTCAGACACATACAATTAATTTGAATAATTTTTTCAATGATTTTAAGTACAAAAGGAAACTGTCATGAAAAGAAACCTCAAGTAAAACACTGGCAAAGTTATAGGACAAACTAACCCAATTAACATGTTAAAAATGTGTTTTTATCCAACTAGAAATGATTAATTGGTGTCTACATCCATGTTCACTGTTACAGAGTCTGAAGACTAGAGGCAAATAAATATGAGGATAAATGTCAGCAATAACAATTTTTAAATAACTTTAAAATATTAGAAATCTAGTCATAAAGTTTTACTAAGTGAAATATACATCTCCAAATATATTAAAATTTTTTTCTCAAAAAGGAAAAATTATCAGTTTTATTCAATCCTCTTTATTTGAAACAAAAGAGAGTGTTGAAATCTGTGTATGTTAGTAAAAAAAAAAACCCAATATTGAAAATTTGCTTCATGTAATCTTATGATGGCTTAGAACCATTCAATCAGAAAAAGTTACCTAGAGGCTAAATGACTTTCACAATTCTTACATTTTTTTTTCATAAGTTATTTACAAAACCAAAGAAACACTTACTTTACAATTTGAAATGAGAAAACAATGGCTCTTAAATACCACTAAGTTGAACTTCATGAAGTTTGATCAAGACTTTACAGGAAAGAAATGATTTAAAAAGAAAAAAACAACAGAGGAGTAGAATTAAAAGAAAAAAGAGAGTATCTGTGCTGAACTCATATGTATAATAAATAAATCTGCATTCATCTTACCTCCCATGTTTTCCAATCCATTTATCATAGTCTCTTTGATCTGTAAATCAAAATAGGTATATTTTATATTCTTTAGACTTAAGTGTTTCTATTTAACAGTTTTCAGTTTTACAAAAGGCAGCAATACTATTTAGCATTTTCTGTCTAAAAAGAGATCTTCATTTTGTGTAGGTAGTCCAGAAAAGTTTCCTATCAATTCATTTTTTAAGTACAATCCTATTTTCCCATTGTCTAATCTTCAGTTTGTAATATCACATGCTATACACCTTCTTTTCAAAAAACAAAGTATATAAGCACACACACATACAACTTTGCCTATTATTTTCACATTTCAAGAACATCCTAGGTCAGGGTCTCTGGACCCCAGATCGATAATTCCTGATTTTCAGCCACAGCCAAGGGATCTATCAGAATGTCCAGGGAAGGCAGGAAAGATGTATGGTGGTGGAGAGGTACTAGGAGGTGCTTATAAGCACAGCTTCCAACTCATAGTAGCATTCCATAAATATGTGTTAATGAATATTACAATTTGGAAAAAACAAAAACCTATTGATCTTGTAATATAGTCTAAGAAAAGTAAACATTAATAAAATTTTAGATAAAGGGAATAATGAGAGGATTTCTCAATCAGAAGAGTTATCCTCACTCAGGAGGTAAAGTTAATTTATAATATTCAGTATACTTTTCTTCTGTAGAAATATTTATTACAAAACTAATATTAAATTCAAATAATACAAAAGTATATCAAGTAGCAGGAAGAATAATACTGATAAAGAACAGAAGCAAGTTCTACCTTTAGCTTTCCTTCTTTAAACCACTGACTCAGCTGGAGAATACCAGACTCAAATTTGTCCTTAAAATTTAACACCAGAAATCTTTCTCTGTAGTGGGGAAGAAAAGGATAATGATCAGAGACTAGGGAGGGAGTGAGAAAGCCCAAATCAAATCATTCCAGAACACTAAAATTTGTTAATCTTTCAAACATTAGGACTTAATCACACAGAGTCTGGTCAGATGTAGCTTTAGGTGTAGTTACAAGCGTAAGTATAATGGACTTCTATTGTATTCTCTGCCCAGCATCTATAATCCCATTTGGTAGTAACACTGTGATTTTTACTTTGTGGGTGACATCCTTTCCCCACCCTCATGTGACGAAAGCCAGGCCAGTCTGAGCCATTAAGTATCAGCCTGGAGATGTGATAAAACTGCAAGAAGAGAGCTGTTCTCTTTTTTGCTTGGATTGCTAATCTGGTAAAATGTAAGAGTAAAGATAACAGTCATAGCCAGACTCATCAAGAAAAAAAGGGAGAAGACTCAAATCAATAGAATTAGAAATGAAAAAGGAGAGGTAACAACTGACACTGCAGAGATAAAAGAGATCATGAGAGATTACTACAAGCACCTCTATGCCAATAAAATGGACAATCTGGAAGAAATGGACAAATTCTTAGAAATGCACAACCTGCCAAGACTGAATCAGGAAGAGATAGAAAATATGAACAGACCAATCACAAGCACTGAAATTGAAACTGTGATTAAAAATCTTCCAACAAAGAAAAGCCCAGGACCAGATGGCTTCACAGGCGAATTCTATCAAACATTTAGAGAAGAG